AAAAAAAAAGAAATTGTTGAATTCCTGAGTCATCTTTTGAATAATTTCTTGGGACATCTTTTGAATAATTTGTTGAGACATTTTTTCAATCATTTCTTGAAATTCTAGCTCTTTCCTTTCTTCCATTCTATTAATCTTGTTTACTATCCACATTCTGAACCAATTTCTGTCATCTCAGCCATCTCTTTATGGGTTAAATCTTCAGATACCTCTGCCACGTCCTTCCTTGGGGGGGTTCCTCCACTCTGGTTATTCCTACTACTGGAGTTTTTCCGCTGGCTCCACCTCATGCTGGATTTACTCTCCTTGGCTAGGTGAGCTTATAGGAGGAAGTTGGGTTGGGGGCTCTGGGAGTGATATTTTGCTGGCCTTTTGGGCAAAGGCTGGGACTAGTGTCTGTATCTTTTCCCCTAGAACTTTGCCAAAGATGCAACTATTGCTATGGTCTGAGAGCCTAGAGGTCTGCTTGTCTCTATCTTGTTTACAGTTGGTATCTGTTCTACCTTAGAAAATCAATTACTCTGGGTTAAGATCTCAGCTGTGGAGAAATAAGAGTGATTAAGTCACCCCTCCCCTTACTGGCTATGGTTGGGGTAGGAAAACCACACCTTCCCTCAACCACACCCCCACGGTATCACTTTAGATAGTTCTCAGGTGGTTGGCCCAGTTCAAATCATATAAGACAAATGTCCTGGTCAACACAATTCTCAGGTGGGAGAGTTCGAGATGTCTCTGGCAACTGTACAGCAGGGATCTTCTGGCAGCACAGGTATGACCTGCTCTGGTGTTCTGTGCGGTCAGAGGGACCTGCCCAGCTAGTAAAGTATTCTAGGGAGGTTGATGCCTCCTACCCCACCTTGTACCTTTGTCACACCCAGTCACTGGAGACCCCAGAGGACTGTGACCTAGTTGCCCAATAAGTGAGTGTGGCAGGGCTCTGTGTCTGCCATAATCAAAGTGGAGCCAGTGCCAGCTCCACTCAGTTACTGCTCTTTGACCCCCACCAGCAAAGGGAACTGAGGCTTGACTATCTTAGGCACTCAGTGACAACTGGAGAATGTTCCACCTGAGGACAATTTGGGCCTGAGAAAATCCTGATAGCATCAGAGATTCTCCCTCAACCACCAGTTAATTTGCCCAAATCAAGAGATCCAAACCTATTGACCCAGTCAGTACCCACTCCCTGGTTGGAAAGATCGCAAGGTCTCTAGCAACTAATTAATAGGAGTCTACTAGTGGTATAAGTGTGGGTCACTCTGATCCTCTGAGGAGTCAGAAAGGCCTGTTCAGTGGATAATCTGGAGTAAGGAGGTTGATGTCTCTTTCCCCTCCTTACTCACCCTTAGCCGCTGGACTTTGGTATCCTCAGTCTCAGTTAACCCCACCAATAGTTTCTGTTGACCCAGACTCTGTAACCCAGTCCTATCCAATGGGTGAGTGAGTCAGGGTTTTGTGTCTACCAGATTCCAGGTAAAGTCAATGAGTTCATCAGGGTTTTGTGCCTGACAGAGTCCCAGTAATGTCAATGCCTTCTCCACTTGGTGACCACTCTTTGTGGCCAGCCAGCAGAGATAATTGAAGCCTATCTGCCTCGGGCACTAAATGGGAGCTGGAGAATATTCTGCTTTGGTTCAATCTAAGCCTGGAATTTGTTTTCTTGAAGTCGTGGGTTGCCTCGGTGGGGAGGACGTGTGTTTATCTATCTCTTCTCTCAGTTCAGCTCCCCACTTTCAGCTTCGTTGGTTTCTTCTGGTAGTTGTCTCTCTCCCTGAACTGACGTTTATGTTGAAAGCTAGCTCTAGTCAGCTCTCATCCGCTATTTACTCCAAATTCTTATTGAATGTGAAATTTTTAGTTAGGGAATATAGCCAACCTGGGGATTTAGCAAAGTACAAAATACATTGAAACCAGGCAGACAAATAAACAGACTAAGATGCTATCAGACATACAAGCACACCAATGCCCAGACACTCAGCCACATGTAAACAAACAGACAAAGAAGTAAACAGAACAACAAACAAACCAGTCAACTAACAGATCAAAAATGAAAGAAGGAAGAAAGAAAAAGAAAAAAAATAGTAATAATAAAAGATAATGACAGAAATGTTGGTCATAAAATGATAGAGCAAACAAATAGGAAAGCAAACAATCAAAGAAGAGAGAAAATCAAAATATATGTATATATATAATAAAAATAAAAAGTAAAAAATTAAAATTAAAAAATAAAAAAAGGAAAAGGAGGGCACTGCTAGGAAAATTACTTTTTTTGGAGTATATACAAACAAGTCCCTTTTTCAATGAGGTGGGGTTCCAGTTTAAATATATATATATAATTATGCTGCAGTATACTTTCTAGACAACAGGTGGTGCTGTGAGTGGTCCCTGTGCTAATACCAAAAATAGAAGGGGAAAAAATATATATATATATATATACATATATGGAGAATCTTTGCTGGCAGGATGCCCAGATTCTCCCTACAACAGTTCCCGCAAAGCGTTGGGCGTCTTGGATTAACTTCATATGCCTGATGGTTGGCTGCAGATCAGACTGAGTTCTCTGCGCTTCTGGGGGAGGTGTTATGGAGACGCCATTTTGGAGGTTTTACATCTGGTTCCTGGCTGACCGCCCACTCCTATCTGTCCTCCAAACTTGGGACACAAGTTCACACTTCACCACACTTTCACTCAACTCCTAATTTCCCCTCGAACAGAAAACCATTGTGGTCTGAGGAAAAAGAGCTGGGGCGCCCCTTTCGCGGTCTGTGATCAGTTTATTTCCAATGCGGGAGGGGCCTGCCGCTGCCGCCTGTCACGGCAGGATATTAAAAAGATTTTTCAATGTTTGTAGGAAGGGAACCTATTCCCTGCACTCAACTCCTGATTTCCCCTCAAACAAATCCATGTGGCCCAAGGGAAAAGATCTAGGGTGGCCCTTTTGCTCTTGGGCGTTCAGTTTATTTCTGATGGGGAGGGGCCACAACTACCGCTGCTGCAGCAAAACATTCAAAAGATTTTTCAGTGTTTATAAGAGGGGAACTGATTCACCTTGCAGGTCGCCGCGTTAGTACAGCTCCACACAGACTTCCAAAATTACAGAATGGATCGGTTCCTAAGCAGAGTCCCTTCCCCTCAAGTTTCTGTCCAAATGCCTGGATCCCTGACACCCAAACCGGGTCCAAATGTCTCCCATTTCTGGCTGCTAAATTCCGCTTGGAAATCCATGCCTCACCACACTCTTCAGGAGACACACAAACTCCCCACGAATTGGGCACAGGAGCCTTTCGTGGGGGAGGGATTGGTTTCTGTCTCTCAGGAAGCAAGCCGCTGTCCTGGCCCACAGGATGCAAGCCATGGACCTGGCACCACAGGTCTCAGATGGCACCATTTCAGCTGCTGCCCTGAGTTTTTTCTGGCTGACACCGTAGTTCTGGGCTACACTTCCAATCCAGCAATTCACCTCTTTGCTGCTCGCCCCATGCTGCTTATCTGTGCAAGCACTCCACACGGAAGAGATCCAATAAGCCCAGTCTCACCTGAAACCACCAGGAGAGTTGACTCAGGGATGCATCTCCTCTGCCATCTTGCTCCGCCTCCTCAAATACATGTTTTCATGATAAAATCTATGCATGGAAAGCAAAGAGTAGTTCCCTGGGAGAGTAGGAACTTGACTTCAACAATTGTGGGATTTTTCCTCCATTTCTTCCACAAATCAGAAAGAAGCAGAGCCAAATTAAAGTGAGGAACTATAAAATGGAATAGGGTGATTTTTGAACATCTGCATCAGCACTTGATAAGAAAAGAGCTTTAATAGTCATGTTAAAAATCTCTGGAGTGGTCCTAATAAAACTATCCAAAGAGGAAATTTAAGGACCATGTATGAAAGAACAAATTTGAACAGAAATTACTGGGGACAGAACTGGTGAGGGGAAACAGAAAATATCACAAAGGCAAGTTACAGTTGCTTTCAGAATATAAAAGTGAAGTTTGCCATTTACAAAAGAAAAAGAGCCAAGATATTTAAATTCACAACATTTTCCTTCAAGGCCTACAATGTTCACTGAGTTCTGAACCAGTGATCTGTGTGTCACAGGCAAGAGGCTGTTCTGCTGAGGAGTCTTCCCAGGGCCCCCTTCACATCCTTGTTCCTCAAGCTGTAGATGAAAGGGTTAAGCATTGGGGTGACCACTGCATACATCACGGAGGCAACAGAGCTCTTCTGGGAAGAATGAGTCATAGCAGAAGTGAGGTACACCCCAAGTCCTGTTCCATAGAACAAGCAGACCACACAGAGGTGAGACCCACAGGTGGACAATGCTTTATACTTGCCTGCTATGGATGACATCCTCATTAGGGAGGAGACAATCTGAGAGTAAGAGAAGATGATCCCTGTGATGGGGAACACACCTAGCAGCACAGTTGACACATACAACATGATATTATTGATGAGGGTATCAGAGCAGGCCACTTTGAGGACCTCAGGCAGTTCACAGAAGAAATGTGGGATTTCAGTATCTATAGAGAAGGTCAGCCTTGTGATCAGTAGAATGTGAACCAGGGCAACCAGGGAGATGATGAACCAAGACATCACAACCAGGAGCCCACAGAACCTTGGGTTCATGATGACCATGTAGTGCAGGGGATGACAGATGGCCACAAACCGGTCATAGGCCATCACAGTCAGGAGGAAATCATCCAGTCCAGCAAAAATAATAAATAAATACACCTGAGTGAGGCACGCTATGTAGGAGATGTCTTTGCTCTGAGTTTGGATATTCACCAGCATCTTTGGGACTATAGTTGAGGTGAAGCAGATGTCAACAAAGGACAGGTTGGAGAGGAAGAAGTACATGGGGGTGTGCAGGTGGGAGTCAGAGCAGACTGCCAGGATGATGATCAGGTTCCCGAGCACCATAACCAGGTACATGGATAGGAATAACCCACAGAGGATGGGCTGCAGTTCAGGATCTTCTGAGAATCCCAGAAGAAGGAATTTTGTTGATTCTGTATAGTTTTCTGCTTCCATGTACCTGATATGTCTTCTGGGGAAAGAGACAAAGGGAATGTTTCATTAAAAGCCAACTGGCTCCTTGGCTAGTTATCACACTGTCATGTCCACTTGTGGATGAATGTTCTTCACACTCAGCAGAGCCCTTTAAAAAGCTGTGATTCATTCAGCCAAGTGGTAGCTCATTTATATTTTAAATGGGTTGAATTGTTCAGATTTCCTTCCATTTAGCAGCAGTCTCTATTTTATTTATATAGTTATAATTCTCATATCTGAACCTGTAAGCATTAGGTAATTTCTTCTTTGATAGAATCCTTCTGAAAATTTTTTTCTTGTTCTTTTTTTTTCCTTTTATTAAGTCAGATACACATAGATCATGAATATATTTATGCTTTTGTGAGGTACAATTTTTTATAATACAATTTGTAATGGTTACATCAAACTAATTAATATAGCTTTCAACTCATTTACTTAATTATTGTGTTAAGACATTTATGTTCTGTACTTGGTAGATTTGATTTGTACCCTTTCAATATCTTATCATTTCTTGATCATTTCTATACTTCATTCTAATGAATCTACAATAGTGATAATCACATGGATTTGCAACTGAAACTTTTTTCTATGACTTGACATTTCCTATTGATGTGACATTTACCTTAGTGTCTAGCTATTTTTCTAAAACTGTGATTATTCATACTACTTTGTTTGTGAGGTTTAAAATGGATTTTGTGCATAAATAGTCTCATAATTAATATTTGTCACCATTATTATTACGCTCCACCTTTAGGATAATTATTTTGGATACACAAATCTTCTGAGGTACATTATAGATATGCATAATTAAGAAAATTTGTATTGAGTTAGTCTTTCTGGAATAAAAATTCACCAACTTACTTTGGTGTGACTTTGAGATAGTCATTTAAACTAGTAGCTGCAGATATGTCACCTCTACAGTAGGAATAGATCAAAGAGTGAAGTTATACAGGAATGCATGTCCTTTTCATACTGTGGTTCTCAGGACATACAATGAACAATTCATAATCATGAGATTCTGTTATTAAATTTTATTGTAAATTAGGCTTTCATGGCCATAATTTATGAAGATCCCATATAAAAAGACCAACCACCAGGATGTATTTCTAACCATTATAAATACTTTAATTCTGTTACCTCTCTTGAGTGCCATACAGGACCTGTAATTAGTGAATATCCTTATGTCTCCTTCTTTCAGAACTTGTCTGCCAGATGAAGTCTCCCAAGAAGAGGAAAAACCAAGTAGGCTGCATACATAAAGGGGGGCAATAAAAGCACACAAACATTAAAATAAATACCAGGTGTGTGTCAAGTGCTTTGCTCAAGTGGATATCTCATTTGCAGATGTATTAAAATCAACAAAGTAATCACCAACATATATAATGGATAGATTTGATTGAAAATGTTCAAAGTTTACATAAATATAATCATCTTAGTCAAATTGAAAGCCATATTAGCTTCTTCATAATTTTATATACTCTCTAAATTGCATTAAATTAATAAAATATAATTTAAAATGTCAAAACAAAAATGCATGCAAGCTACCTTTTTTTGACCATTATAACAAGCATTTTCCTATGTAGTATCAGTTTCATCTTGGCAGAAAATAGTTGACAAGACCATGTGGGTAATTAAGAGGAATGAGAAAGAGAGGAAAAGCATAGAGGAGGAATTATGTAGTATTGACCACCTAGAGTGTGGTTAGGATGCAGTGAGGTGTTTACCAATTTTAATGTATGTTCTGGGCTTATGAGACTTTGTATGAAAACAGAAGACTGTAAAATATGTCATTCATTTTATGTTGAATACATGCTGAAATAATAAAATTTTGGACATATTTGTATATTAAATAGATGAACTATCCCACCAAATTTGAGATTTTTAAAGTAAATACTTACATTCTTCATGATAGAAAAAGAGTCTGATAATAATGTCTAATAAAGTTTATTAAATTAAAGTCAGTGAAAAATCATGGAGGAGCAATTTAGTCTGGGAAATTGTGTAGGTGGGCTTCTCTGATACACAAATATGTGACATGAGAGAGGAAAGATGGGTCAGAGTTAACCAGGGGACTAAGGAAAAAACAAATTTACAGAATGCTACATACATATGGCTCAGTGAGCTTCATAGTGGGGACTTGAGGGACAGTGAGATGGAGAGCAGTGGATAAGGGTCGGGGGGCAGAGATGTGAGCCCCACAGCAGAGCATCCTCTGCACTCTCTTCATGCACATCTCATGTCTGTAATTTTATGTTTGTGGTTCTGAGGTTGTGACTGTTTTCTTTCATCATTTTTCTTTAAAGGGAACTACTTCATGCCTGTCACATTGTGATACCTCAATGAACACAAATGTTTACTCATTAGATGTTTACTAATGAGTGAGACCAAATGTGTCAATAATGATACAAAAGAGAAAAACAAAAGCTCATCACATACCTGAATATAGACTTGACATTGAATAGTAAAGTTAAATAAAATATATAGGCCCATGAAGAAATATAGGTCCATGAAGAAATTAAAATAATCACAATTCAAAAAAATGTATTTGAGAATATGAGATACCTAGGTGGTTTGCAGCCAGAGCAGAGAATCTCTGGAGACACATACACACACAAACATGGACAACTTATTAACCCAGTAGAGAATGTTTGTTTGACAACCATAGGCAATAGAATATTCTACATGAAAATACTAGAAAATTTGTATAAAATTCATGAGTAAGTAAAGCAAACTACTCCAAAGGAAATTATTCAGTATTCTTCTGAGCATTTAAAGAGATTGCTGGCAGACTATTTCTGGCCATATAGAATCTCTATTTTTACTCTTATATGGTAGAGAATTTTTTTTTCTAGGTATGTGTTGACATGGTAAAGACTGCAAACACTGCTCTATCAGGTTGCTGGTGATTGTTTTGAAAAAATAGTGAATAAAAATTGGAGAAAAATGAACACAAAACCTCAGGTGGCAGCTATTCTTAGCAGCTTTCTAGTTAATAACCCCTGTGCTGCCTCTGGTGTCTGTTCTGTATTCTATTTTGTATTTAGCCTTCAGATTCTAAGCCTTTGCCAGCAGGTGTTTCTTTTCTTTCTGTTTTTCTTTTATGCTTTTTCCTAAATGTTTTTATGAATGGCTATGACACGATTAATGCTGCTGAATCTTAAAACTATTCACAAAAGCAAGTGTATAGCTTAAGGCCACTATTGGTGAGGAAACCAAGTGTCTTCTGTGCCTTTTTCTTTCTGTGAAGTAAGTTAAGGACATCAAAAAAAAGAGAGAGACTTTAAAAAGTCATCATCTTGGTACAAGATAGTGTGTATAGTCCTTGGAAGCTTAAAATGGTGTTTTTGCCTGGAACTCAGAAGCAGCTCTAAGAGCAAACCTCCTAACATACCTTGGGTTATGTGTTGGCCTTGATGGAATATGATAGGAAAATTAGTAAATGACTAATACTAAACTTGAAAAATTATTCACTTGAGTTTTTGTTAAGCAGTCTAGGTTTTAGCTTTATGAAATAAAGTTTTTAATGAATATGTGACTGATGGAAAATTTAAAGCTTTTTAACACTGCCAGTGAAGGTGCCAGCTGCTGTTTGGTATCACACTCTATAAGTGCTTCATTAATGTATTGCATGCTGGTTGCTAAGCAGCCACTGTACAGAGCATAAACTTAGGGGTGCTTATACAAGCCGGAGACCAACACTGCATTGTTGATGTCATATGAGGAAATAATGCATATGCTCTAACTGCTAAACAGAAAAAAAAAAAATGTAGAAACAAAGAAAATGAAGAACAAAACAAGAAAAAGTTTAGTTGAAAGAAAACTAGATCAACATAATTGAATTTGGAAATATTTCAAGAAGTTAATTCTTGTTAAACTTGCCCGGGGGTGTTTGTTCAAAAGTTATATTTAATAAATTAACACCTGACTTAAAAAAAGAAAAAGTACTCAGTAGACACAATTAATGTCACCTCCAAGTCTTGCCACTATTTGTATAGATTATCTCTAAAAGTTTCCCAGAAAGAAACTTTCCCAGAAAGAGTGAGTGCTCCAAGTGTCCAGGGATATTTCTTTTCACCTTAGCAACCTGAAAGAAGCCTTATCAGAACTTACACTTGATCTTCCCAAAAAGTACAAGAGGAAATTTGGATGTAAAGCATAAAAGCTCTGAAATTCACATGAATTCTACAAAAATGATTTTCCAAATGTGGTCTCTGCATGAGCAGCATCAGGAACTTGTTAGAAAAGCAAACTTGTACCCTGACCCAGATCTACTGCACCAGAAACTCCAGTATGGGCACTGTGCATTAGTCTTTAACAAGACCTATATGTTCTAATGATTGCTGAGGAATAAGAACCACTACAAAGACTGGAGTTCCTGGTCTCTTACCCAATAGACACTGGACTAGAGGATCTATTTCTTTTACTGTCTTGTGTGCCATTGGGCAAATTATTCTGGGTTGGGTCTCAATTTCTTTCAGTATAAATTGAAGGCAATAAAAAACAAATGAAAATAAAAAGAAGTAATGCGATTGCTAAAATGATAAAAGGAAATTGCCCTGAGTGCCAAATGTTAAAAATAAGTGTATCGTTTGTGTTACATTGTGTACAATGAAGTGCAAAAATAATGATGACAACAACATAGAACTATTCAGTGATTTCACTAAGTCAGACCCAACTGCAATAATAGTTAGTGTGAGGAAGAAATTTAGAACTCTGATGAAAGTACACCTATTTGGGAGACAAGTAGAGAAAGAAAGCAGGCCAGAAACCAAATTGCATGATTACAGCAACCCCCTTCCCATACTCCTGTAAATCCTCATGGCCCTGACAAGGGTATAGCGATATTGGGAGGAAAGCTAGTGATAGAAAGCAGGTCAGAGACCAAATGGCATGGTCAAAGCAACCCCCTCCCCACTCTCCTGAAATGTTTTAGGGTGGGTGTTCCTGGGAATTATCAGGATTCTTCTACCCTAGTCCTGGCT